TTAGAGCTTTTTTCCTCCTCCTTTAAAGAGTTGGTTTTGTTTTTATTTTTAGCTCTCTTTCGGAGAGTTTTCTCCCGCCGCCGGCGGGCCCGGGGGCATTTCTACAGCCCCGACCTCTGCGAGGTAAGCGGGAGTCTAAAAATAATCGTGTGCTGAATCCGGAGCCCGGGAGAGCTCGTCCTTGCAAAGTCACCCTTGGATCGCACCTTGCTGGGAACCCTGCACAGTGAACGGGGCGAGGGTGCGAGCGAACCTCAGCTGCTCAGCGGACCCCAAAAGGGGCCGATAGCATGCGGGGTTTGCAGCGAACCCAAGGCCTCTCAGCACAGACCCCATCGCCCCGGGCCCCCGGTCCCCACACCGGCCCAGCCGCATGGCCCGGCGGCGGCGGCGAAACAGAAACAAAAATCATCCCCGCCAAAACAAATCCTCCCGCTCTCGGCCGCCAATGGCTCGGACAAACCGGGCCGAGGGGGAGCGGGGGATCGGGAAGCGGCAGCGGTCCCGGTGGGCTCCGGCCCCCTCGCCCAGCGCTTATTTAACTCTCCCGATCCTCCCTAAAAATCCGGCCTCAGCGCAGGGCTGTGATACAATTCCAAATCATAACGCAAGGCATATCTAATTTCTAACGCAAGGCTTTTGTAACTAAATTTTTTTCCCGTTAAAAAATGAAATCTAAAGGTATTTTGCAGGTTCTCGGAGAAGAAAAGCAGGCAGCTCCTCGGCCCTCCGGCAGCACCGAGGGGTCACACACAGGGGTAGGGCAAAACGGAGCAAATCTCCCTCTCTAATCTCCAATAATCCCCTCTAATCTCAGAGTCCCTTCCAGACGCCGGTCTCTAACTTTGTTTGCGAATCAGTCCGGGAGGCACAACCCAAACCCTCTTTATCACCGAGTGCCACTTCGGGACCCACTCGTTCAACAGCCACTCTCTAGGGTAAAATTCCCAAGAGCAACAATAGCTATTAGAAAACTAAACTTATATAAAACATAAACTCCCTCTGAAACAATCTTGCTGGAGAAGGAATATCACACTCCTTCTTCAAGCTTTTGTTCCTCTCTTCTACCTTTCCCTTGTCATTCTAAAATGCTGTTGTTTTAATTAAATGCAATCTGAGGAAGCCCAGCGTTCCCTGTAGCCCTCGCACACGGTGGTCAGGGCANTTTCGCTCCATCCCTGCCACGCTTTTCGTCCAGTCCCGAGGATTCTTCCCCCCACAGTCAGACCCTTCCCCACCCCGGCCTTTCGCTGCTCCCTGCCCCGCTCGCCGCTCACTTTCCGCCTACGGTCGCTGCCCGCTCCGGGCGGATCTCTCCGCGGCCGAGAGCTGAATTTCCCCTCTCCGACCTGGATCCCAATTTTGATCATTAAATCCAGCCCAGCGCGAACCGTCGCAGCGCTCCCCCATAAGGGACAGCTGCCCCGAGCCCCCCACGCCCCGGCGGTCCCAGGGCAGAGCTCGCTCCGGCGGAGCTGCGGCCCCTCTTACCCGGACTCGGGGCTCGGTGAGGTTGGTCCACACGGCGATCTCCTCCCTCATGCTCATGTCGGGGTAGCGGTTTCGCTGGAAGGTGGCCTCCAGCTCCTGCAGCTGCTGGCTGGTGAAGTGGGTCCGCTGCCGCCGCTGCTTCTTCTTCTTCGCCGGATCGTCCGCGGCCCCGTCTTCGTTTTTCTGCTCGCCGCTTCGCTCTTTTTCTGCGAGGGGTCGGGTTGGGGATGGTTGGTTTATTTGGTTTGGTTTTGTTTTGTGCGTTTTTTGCTTTAGTTTTTTTGCCAGTACCGGCACACAAAGGCAGACACCCCCGCCCCGCACCCAGCGCTGCCCACCCCACCGGAGGCACGCGTGGGGCACCCACTCGTGTCCCGCTGAGCCCTGCACCCAACCCGAGCCCCGCAGCCCATCCCGGCCTTTCCCGGCGCGGCTGCGGAGGGATCAGGGAGCCCTGCCGGGCCCAGGGCACCCAGGGATGCGGCAGGAGGGACCCCCAGAGCGGCTCAATGCGGGTGACCGCATTCGTGGGGAGCGGGGTGCCCGTATCACCGCCCGCTCCGCCTTTCTACGGCACCTTCTCGCTCCCTCCAAACCAAGGCGTGATCTTTGCTCCATTGTCTTTGTTGTGCTCGGCCGCGATAGGAAACTTTGGAAGGGCAAGGGTGGAAAACCCAGGAGCAATTAATTGCAAAAGGCCCCTCTCCGCTCCCCCACTTCATTCTCTTTTCATAATTATTTTATTCTTCATCTTTTAGAATTTTGCTGTTTATTTTAACACAGGGCTGAGCGAAGTCCTCCGCAAAAATCATATCGGAAGAAGGAAAGAAAAAAGAAACCACCCAGGAGGGTTTTCTCGGCCGGGATTTGCGCGGGCTGGGAGCAGGAATTCAATACCGGCCCTGCGAACCCCCTCTCCCCTTTCCTAACGGGCTCTCTGGCTCTCCCGGCCCGGTTTNCGCACCCCTCAGCGTCTCTACCCCACCACACCTTTCAGACCCACGGGGAAGATGCTCCTGGAGGTGTGCTTGGGCTGTGGGCTCTGTCGGAACTGGTCTGAACCTTTTTTAACATTATTTTCCAGGCTGCAGGGGTTATAAGAACGCTGGCCGGGCCCTGCCTGGCGGCCGGGGGAGATCAGCCCAGGGAGCAGCGGCAGTGCGATCTCTCCCATCACATCATCTTTCAGCACATGATTAATAACAAATAATTTTCCTGCTGCACTCGCAGTGACCCTCGGGAGGGGTCTCTGAGATTGTGCCAGTCCAGGGGAGTGGGCAGCCGGCGGGAAGGGGGGTGTGGGACCCCCACCTCTCCTCGGCAGACCCCTCTCCTACATCGGTCCCCGGTGCACCCTGTCCCGAGGCAGGGGCGTGTGGAGCAGGGCCCGTCCCCGGTGCAGCCCACGCAGGCCGGGACAGGGCCTTGGCCCTCCTGGATAACACCTCGGTGTTGTGGCGAAGTGGAAAAACCCACGGGGGAAGGAAGGTGGGAACCGCGGGTGCCGGGGGTGAGGGGAAAGGGGAGAAAGGAGACGGGAGGAAGACCCTGGCTCTGGCTGCCATGGGAAAGGACCCTCTCTCCTCTCTACTTTCTCGGCACATTTTAGCTGATCTATCCTGACACTCTATTTTGCTTTCAAATCAAGTAAAGATGTGGGAGAGAACTTTTGAACTGTTTTATGGAAAAGTGGAGGGAAGCAGTGTTCCAGCCGCGCAGGCTTTTTCCGACCTCGCGGAGGTGATGGAGTCGGGCCCGTCCCGCACCCCCGGCAGCACCTCGCAAGGCCTGGGGACCCCAAAGCTTCAAATCCCTTCACCTCTGGTCTTTAGCACCGTTCAGGGGATGCACATGTGGCTGCTGTCAGGGTCAGCTCTCTAGAGCTCTCTTAGTTTTTGTTGATTTTTTTTTTTAGTGACATCTTGATGTCCTTCTGCCTGTTCGCCTCTCCCGGCTGAACTTCGCCCAGGAGTCTGCAAACGACTGAGAATTTCGAGCACCCGAGGTGAACCAGACAACCTCGGGGCTGTTTAAGATGGACGTGCTTTAAAATGCAAATATTTACCAGGGTCTCTGAGCCTCAAGGGGCTCAGCTGATGCGGGAGGCACGGGAAGGACGGAGACCTCCTCCAGTGTGAGAAGCAAGAGGTGGGAGCGGCCTTTCTCCCAAAGAGGAGGGAGGTGAATATGCTGCAAACGCGCACCGTGTCTGAGACCCTTCACCGTCCCCTTTTTCACTTTATTTCCTGGATGGGCCTGCGGGGGCTCCCCCGCCCTCGGCGGAAGGGGGACGGAGCCCAGCGGGCCGTGCTGGAGGGAGGCGCTGACCTTAAGGGTCTTTTTCAACCTTGATGGTTCTGTGATTCCGCGAGTCTGCCAACAACAGCCCGGCTCCGCTCCGGCTATTTTAAACCCACTGCTCGCACCAGCCTCCGAACCGGAGGCAGCATTTTCCCGTTCCTTTTAATTTTCCTCTTTTTTTAAATAATGCGCCAAATTACGGTTTTTATTCTGTTCTATACAATCTAGTTTTAAAATATTCGTTCTAGGTTCAATTTCTCCCCGCTGGGCACAAAGACAGGCTGTGCCCGGGCACCGGCAGCGATCGCGGTAACGCTGGGTCCGGTTTTCTTCCCAGCCCTCGGTTCTTCCTGGGCTGCCACCGGGGCAGACATCCCCCGGTACCGCCCTTAAACAGAGGGCAAAGGGCTGGCCCTCGGGAGCCGGAGCAGAGCCCGGTTCTCCCCTGGCCCTCTCCATGAGCGTCCACCCCGGGCCGTGGTGTGAGCGGGCATTCACTGCTCACCTGGGCACGGGTCGGCAGTGGGAGAATATATCTGTATCATAGGTCTGTCTAATCTAATCTTATATTTATCTAATCTAATCATGTATCTGTCTTCTCTGTATGTCTCAAACGCCTTTCGTGGATTTAGGGGCATGCTCTCACTCCGCGCTCAGTGTAGCGGGCACAGTCCTACAGCACAGAACCAAATCCTCCCGGTGATCCCGACACTTATGTCCCGAGAGCACAGCGACCCTCCAGGGCGGTCACCCCCAGGTTTGCGCTTTCTCCTCTTCCATCCCATCCCAGCTCTCTCTGCCTCGGCATGGCCAGGACATCTCTCCGCCGGCACTCCTTCCACTGGGCGCTACGTCACGGCTCCATTCGCGTGACGTCATTCTCTGCCTCCCTGACTCACGTCACACCTTTCGACCAGGCCACGGCCCAAGGCAAACCTTGATGTCCCACTTGGAGCTGNCCCGCGCCCCTTTCCCGGAGCCAGACGGGGGGCGAAGCACGGCCCGCTCTGATTAGAGCCGGCTCGCCCCGGCTCTGCCGCGTTTCCGAACGCTAATGCCGTGTAATAAAAGCCCCCTGTTACAGATCATAAAAAAAGGGATTAGATTAGTATGTTTAGGTTTAAAAAAAAAAATCAATCCCTGCATCGCCCTCGGATAGATGCAGCCTCTGCCTTTATATCTAATGAGAATTTACACCCCTAACTAGGAAACAGAGAAGAGGGGCTGGTCGTGATGCTTGATGTGAAAACCGGTTCCAGTGTCTGATTATTTTTATACACAATAATACATATATAATCATATATACACTACATATATAGCCCTCGGAAAGCATTTGAGTCCCCTCTGATTGAAGCCGGGCAGCTTCAAAAATCTTTAAAAATTGGTTAAAAATCTGAACCCTGCTGCCTGCTGCCGGAGCCCAGGCTGAGAGCCTCCCTTGCAGCATCCTCCCCAGCGCAGCCCGGGTTTGTCCCACCGGGTCTGGCCCAGGAGCTCCCCGCGGACACCGGGCCCGGCCCCGCGCAGGCTGCGCTCCCTCCGGAGCCGGCGTGGGGGCGGGCGCGGCTCCTGGGGCCTCCCCTCCCCGCGCAGAAATGGCACAACTATTATTAAATACTGGGCCCGAGGATGGAAACTCCGTGGGGGAACGGATGGCGGAGTCTATTTTAAAAAATAACAATAATAAAAAGAATCCTGTATAAATAGGAAACGAAAGCCAACATGTTCAAAACCTGTAATATACTCCTCGGAAGGTGCTTCCAGACAGGAATTTCCTGAAAATGAGGGTAATAGTTTTAATTATGGCTCCTAGACATTTTAAAGGAAGGCCCTCATAGCAAATTAAGGTTAGATTTGCAATCTGCCATCTCAAAACATCAAACCCAAACATCTCCACACAGAAGGAGAACGAAATTATGTTAATTGCAACTCATATTTTAGTTATATTTGTTCCCTGAAATATTCAACCAGTATTAATGTTCAGGCTTTGTTTTGTTTTAAACTCAATTAAGACAATGCTTTCAGACGCAATTGTTTCAAATGGGTGTTTACTTTTCAAATGTTTAAAGCAGAATCTCTAATCCGATTTGGTCACTCAAGGTTTAATTGCCAAGTTAAAAACAAAAAACGAAAAAAAAAAAAAAAAAGAAAAAGTGGATTTTCCGTGCGGCGGGGCTTCGCTCCGCAGTTCCCGTTTTTCCTGCGCTTAGCCCACGGTCCCGCGGTGTGCGAGTATTGTCGAAACCGCGCGGGGAAATGTCTCGGGTGGAAAAAAAGCACTTGGGATGTGGACAAACCGAGACACAGCGATAGATCCATAGAGACCGAGCCGCTTCAGCCCGGTCCTTCTTTGCCAGGATCTTTCGCTCATAAATCTCTCTAAGGAATTGGCGAAACACACACGCACACACACATACATATATATATATTTATATACATACANCCCGGGCGCGGCGGCCAGCGGCAGAGCTTGAAAAAACTCGCGATGAAAAAGTTGAAGGCTTAATGTTTTCTGACAGATACAAATGATACCCCAAGGCTTTCTTGAAATGCAACGACTGACGGCTGGAGAAAGGGTTTTTTTATTCGAGTTTCTGCAGCTGGAAGCGGCCGGGGGTGCAGTGGGATGGTGCTGGTTCACTTCGGCCGTCATTCTACCAGCACCCCGAAAATAAAATCATTTCGTAGTTGTCCGACGTGGGACAACTTCTTTTAACCCCAAACCCCTGGCGGCACAGTCTCAGCCTTGCCAGCAGCTGCCTTCCAGCCCTCCTCGCATCCGTCAGACCACAGGCACTGAACTCTGCTCCAAGAAAATACGAATTTGCTGCTAGCAGCGGTTTGGATTTGTCCCTGATAAACCTGATGTGAGTGGGAGAGTGTCAGTGCGCTGCAATGACAGCGCCGGAGGATGGACAGCTCAGGAATATGTTTTTCTTTTTTCCCTATGTGGGGGGAAAAGAGGGGAAAATCACAATATAGCCACACAATTCCCTCTCTGGGCAGAGCGAACATGCTTTTCTGATTAATTGACGGAGGAAGGGGCACCGGAGTTTGCTAGGAAGCCTGCTCATATTACTCTGTGCATCTTTAGATCCTGAAATGTGGCTCTTTTGTGGGCTCAGAAAGATGCCTCTGGAACAGGATAATCAGAGGCCCGAGCATTGTTGGCATTTGTTGAAGACTCTTCTTCAGGAGAAAAAAGAGGCTACATTTAGAATGAACGACATTAGGTTTCCTTGTGGGTTTCCCCCACCTTGTTTTGGGCGAGGAACCTCTTAATTACTCCAGCATTTGGATGGGGGGAACACATTTCCATTCAAGGGGACATTTCCTGAAGGACTGAAATATTTTAATAATGTGCTGGACTCTTTAATGCGCTTAGAACAGCAGCGAATCTCTGCAAGACCTACACATTTCCTGCCTTAAAATGCAAATTCAGAGAAATAATTAACCTTCGAGCACATTCAGCTTATCTTCTATATTATTTTCCTTCCTTTTATACTTTTTTCCTTTAAAATTTTTCTCTTGTTTTCTTGCCTTCTCCTTCTCGCCCCTCCCCATATATTTTTTTTCCCTCTCTCCTTCCAATTTTTCCTTCTGACTTCTCTCCTTATTTCCCCCCAAAGGGTGATCTCGCCCCGCTGCTCGGCAGCACCGCGCTGCTCCCGGCGCTGCTCCGCTCGTCTCCAAACCAAACCAGGAGCAAACACGGCCGAGATAAAAAGGCACGGGACACTTTTCCTTCCAGTTTCATTGTGGGAACGGCCGTATCTTAACGGGCACATCGCGGGAGAGATAGGAACACGCCGCCTTCCAGAGGGCTGTGCTAATCAGCGCGCCGGGTTAGATATAAAAGTTCAGGGCAAATAA